GTTACCTTAGTGAGATGAACAGGGGGTGCCCCAACACAGAGTCACTTTCCAGCCAGAAGGAAGATTTCAATCACCTCTGGCAATGGTTGGGTCTGAATTTAGGTCTCTCGCCTTCTGCCTGACTGCTCTAATCTCAAGGCTATTTTAAAAACAGCAGCATAACCAGACCCACAGCCTTAAAACAGGATGATTTCTACTCCATTTTGTAGGAGCAGGATCCTGTTGGCCTATGTGCTGTGCACTCTGTGTACTCACTCATGGGATATACAAGGATTTAACCTAGAAACTGCTGTATTCTGGATTCGTGACGGGTTTTAGCATGAGTTAGGTGCAAAGATCCTTAGATGTGTCAAGGTCAGGGTAGTTCTGAGCATGGGCAGACATACAATGCTAGATGCCTGAGTTAGGTGGAGGTTGAATAGTGGTTTTAAAATTGAGTTTTAAAAGTAGGTATTAAATTCTGCTGAAATCATAACTTTAGACACCAAGGTCCTTTTTTGGGTGAGCCCTGATGCTGGTCTCCAATATAACAAAAAATCATGGTCACATTATTAATCCTGAGCATAGTGCACTGATTTCCCTAAGGACCCAACATTTTCTGTATGCAGTCTGTTGCTGTCATGTTTTTTCCTTGCACCTCATAAATGATGTATTAAGTTGAATAACAAAGTTTCACACTTTCCTCTACAGAATTTACACCTACAGCTATGCTGTCTTTCAGTCTAGTCTTGGTCTCTCTAAAAAAAGCATCCCTGGGTGAACATCCAGAGCCTGAATCATGGATTGGCCTTCCCATTTACTCTCCTCAGAGATCTTATTCTCCCAGTTTTGATCACAAAATTTTCCTTTTGCAAACACAGCAACTGAATAAACATCCAAGCAAGCTAACTTTTTTTTTTTTCTTTTAAAACTTTTAACAGTTATTTTTTAATTAGCATTTAACTTTTAATTAGCTTTTGTAGGTGGAAATCAATGGAAGAAGCCAGCACCTTGTGATCAACCAGGCTTCCATGAAACATCAGCCAGTGCTTTGTGGACCGTGGTCTAAAAATCTCTGGTCTAAGGTATCTGTATGAGTCTAGGCACCAAATATTCAGATAGAAGTACAAGGAAGCACATCTCCAAAGTCATGCAATTATTTTTCAGAGCCAATTAAAAAATACAGTTCTTCTTCAGTATTGCTAAAACTTCTTCCCAACTGGCCTGCCAGAGTGATTCACTTCGTTCCGAAAGCATAGATTCCAGAGGTGGTTAGACCTCCACTCTTCAAAGTTGGCCTCAAGTACAAAAGAAACAAGTGATTTTCCGAGGTCTCTGTGGTCAAGAATGACAATAGTTTCAACTCTTTTAATTCCCTTTCTGGCAGCAGCACTAAATTGAAAGGCAATTTCAAGCCATTCAGTTGGTCCTTGCACATTCTTTAGTTAGGTTGGAAAGTGTTCATGTTTGTAACCTTTGCTTTTATCGCTGAAAAACCCTGTCTTTATATCCTAAGGTCCTAAACAGACACTAGCATACAAACAGCATAATGAAATCATAAAGTTTGTCATTCATAATTTTCTTTTTTCTTGTGTCAAACCCACTAGCAAAGTGCTTTTCAGTCTTGCAAATCTCCCACTGGGCTCCTTTGAATTACTACTACAGGCATTACATAATTGCTATCTTCTTCCCCAAAAAGCCTTTCCTACCTTTGATGAAATCCAAACTTATCATACAAGGTGACATTGGCACATTCCAGCCTGTACAATTATAATGGATTCTGCCTTCTTTAAATGCCACTAAGGTTGTCCTATCTTTCATTAAAGACAGACCTACAACTGGGAGGTACAACCTCAGCAGTGTCCATCCTTGGTTCCTTGTGCAATTAAAATTTCTGCTGTGGCTAATGGATATACAAAAGATGCATGAGTCCTACCAAAGTGAGAATGAGCAAAAGTGTTTAAAATGTAGGTTTTGTAACATTAGGATTTTAGCATCCTAAAACATTTATTCATGTGTTAGATTGAGGGTTTTGTGTGTGTGTACCTGTGCGCGTGCACGTTTGTGCACACATATGTATTGATACCATCTTGGCAAAATATATGAAAGTTGTCAAGGAGCTCTGCGCAATAGCTACTGCCAGGATTGTGCAGAACTGCAATCTGGGAGCAGAGGAGGTATATTTATGCTGAGTCACAGTTTGACAGTTTCTATTTCTCACTCCTTTTTACTAATTTTATATTTAAGAAAAGATTGTTATGTCTGTATGTATAATGCTGATTTCCACTGTTGATTATTTCATAGTGCGGTGAAGCCCACAGATTGTAGCAGGAGTACATTAATATTAAGTGCCCACCACAATTAGAAAAGACTACGGAAATGGGAACCTAAAAGAGTAGGTAGAAGATGGAGAATGTCCTAGGAAGGACATTGGTCAACAGTTTAAAGTATAAGAGAACAGATAGTAATAAAATCCCTTTGAAACTCACATTAACTTAGTACACTCTGTATATATCAAAACAATATTGCACTGATGGCAGATATATATTATCATATAAGTCTTCCATGAACAACATTTAAGTGGTCTAGACTCCCTAAATGAGAATGTTTGTGTCACAGACTGATTGGATATGCCCTTCCCTTAAATGTGGGTTGTAACCTGTGAAAGAAGATGCTTTCTCCTAAAGTCACGGGCAGCTTGGGAATGATGAGACATGCTGATACTGTGAACCAGGAGGGCAAAACCAAGCTCTGGTCTGGAAACCATACAGCTGCACAGAACTGAGTCTGTGCTAATCAGTCATGTGAGGAAGCAAGAACTACATAAAAGCAACAAGGACCTACAGTCATGACTTGGTGTATCTATCTGCCTTCTGGAGTAGAGCTGTTTTGTGACCTGCTGGTTCATGCTATAGGCGTAGCTGGCAAAATAAGCATGCCCAGAGACTGCTGTTGCATCACACTGCCTTGTGCAGGATGTACAGAGTCACTAGAGCATCTCCGTGAGGTGTTAGCCTGGATTCGGTCATTTATTATTGTTTTAATGTTGTTGAGCAGCAATTTGGGGTGCAGCACACAATGGTGAAACTAGCTTCCCAAAGGAATAGAAAATGCTCTTTGCTAAAGTATGTGAGTGTGCTTTCATATTTTTTTTTTCCTGTTTGATCAAATATTTATTATTTTGGACATGGGGGAGAAAAAAGAGGTATGAATTTTGATTGCAAAATATTTGTTATCTTTGAAGAAGTAAGATCTAAAGGTCTTGAAAATGAAACGTAGCAGCCTTATTTCAAGGCTCCTTTCCATGAGGCTGTCTTCTATATAAGGCTACATCAACTCAGCTTTGAATTGAAGTACATCACTCACCACTTCATATTATCCTTAAATAAAATAAAACAAACCCATAAAAGTTTGGCACCTGAGGACAGCTATATCATGAAGAAGAGAGCCAATACAGTGTGCGTTTAGGGCCTGACTTACAGCTTCTATGTAACTACCCCTATCAAAAATTATTTAACTTCTATTCAAACTTTAAAACTCTTCCCTGCCTGTATTAAAAAAGTGCTGTGACAGTATGAAGTGCACTAAACTGTACTACCTTGATATAGGAAAAAAATATGAGGAATCTCCTTGCTTCTTCTGTGAGTTGCTAAGAAACAAAGAAAGACTCTGTTGGTTCATATCTCATTAGTTCTTCTCTGTTTTAACCTTTACTCTGTATTGCTTTGAAAGTATTTTTTTTCTTTTTTTTTTTTTTTTTGTTGTAACAGTTCATAGCTGCAAGGCATCAGCAGCTAAATAAAGTTAAAATTGATGCTTATTAAAGAGTAGCTAAA